GACACGGTGCTGTGGCTGACATCCTTGTCTATGTTGGATATGAGGATGAGGAACAAGATGGGAGCGAGTACTGTGCCTTGTGGAACAGGCTTTTACCGTAGCTGCCTGGGACTTTATTTGGTTGACGAAAAATCTCTGTGTTCTGTTAGTGGGGAAAAAATTATAGCCCATCGCCCGGGATTTTTCCTGTTTTTTCCCTTTTAAAGCAGCTTTTTTGTGCGTTTACGCCATGGTCACACTTGTCGAAGGCTTTTGAAAATTGAAAAATAATTACATCTGAAATTCTTTTTGTCTTTAGTGTTTTTGGCCCTTGTCGTAGTGACCCAATGTTGGGGACGGGGACAGGGCAAACCTGTTCAAAAACCCATGTTGCCCTGGGTTGGGAACTGAGGGGTTTTTCTAGATGGGGGTTTGATTTGCTTTTGGGGAACCCTTTCAAAAGTTTTTTATGATATGGGATGTTAGTGCTTTTTGGTCTGTTTTTCTTTGCTGGGGGTTTTACTCCCCCCTTTGGGGAAAGGGGGGCCCTATGTTGTTGTTTTTAGTAACTGTGGGACGCCCCCGTGTCCATGCTCCTTTCTCCATAGGAGGGAAAAAGGGTCTTGATAGGGGTTTCCTTGCAGTTCTTGATAAAACACGGGTTCCATGAGTCGGGCCCCCTGGGGCGAGTGCATGGGCATGTCTTTTATCGCCTGATCGAAGTCTTTTGGCGTAGGATAACATAGATATGCTTTTGTTAATCAAAAATTTTGTGGCTTTTCTCATAAAAAATTCATTTTGATCTTCGATCTCAGTCTGGTTAGCGGGGTTGCCCAAAAATGGGGTCATATTGGGACTGAGTAGTCATTATTTCCTTTCTGTACTGTGTTAAAGGGCCCATTTGTTTAAGTAGGGGCGTTGTTCTCGGGCTTTGATTTGGCCCTAGGAGAGAAAATACTTTGGGTTTCTTTTGATTTTATTTTGGCTTTTTGTTCTTCCCGCGATTCTGGGCTCCCATAGATTCCTTTAGCTTTTAAATTCGATGCTTGTTTTTTCTCTGACCAGTGTTCCTAGCATTTTGATATATTGACCTCTTTTAGCCGCTCTGTTATTCCCTTTTTGTCGCCCGTAAAAGGGGGGCGCCTGTCTTCTCTATTTTTTCATCTACTCCTCTTTTTTCTTAGAGGAATAAACCTTGTGCCCTTACATCGAGTGCCACCAAGTTAATCTGTTCTAGGCATAAGTACTGTAGTGTTTGCAAATGTTTTCATTATTATTATTATTATTATATTATATTATTATTATTTTATTATTTTTTTTTTTATTATTTTATTATTAACACTGGCCGATTCTCACCAAGGCAGGGTGGCCCAAAAAAGTAAAACTTCCGCCATCATTCACTCCATCACTGTCTTGCCAAAAGGGTGTTTTACACTACAGTTTTTAAACTGCAACATTAACACCCCTCCTTCAGAGTGCAGGCACTGTACTTCCCATCTCCAGGACTCAAGTCCGGCCTGCCAGTTTTCCTGAATCCCTTCATAAATGATACTTTGCTCACACTCTTACAGCACGTCAAGTATTAAAAACCATTTGTCTCCATTCACTCCTATCAAACACGCTCACACATGCCCGCTGGAAGTCCAAGCCCCTTGCACACAAAACCTCCTTTACCCCCTCCCTCCAATCTTTCCTAGGCTGACCCCTACCCTGCCTTCCTTCTGCTACAGACTGATACACTCCTGAAGTCATTCTGTTTCGCTCCATTTTCTCTACATGTCCGAACCACCTCAACAACCCTTCTTCAGCCCTATGTACAACAGTTTTGGCAATCCTGCACCTCCTCCTAACTTCCAAACTACAAATTCTCTGCATTATATTCACAGCACACATTGCCCTCAGACATGACATCTCCACTGCCTCCAGTATTCTCCTCGCTGCAACATTCATCATCCATGCTTCACACTCATATAAGAGCGTTGGTAAAACTATACTCTCATACATTCCCCTCTTTTCCTCCAAGGACAAAGTTCTTTGTCTCCACAGACTCCTAAGTGCACCGCTCGCCCTTTTCCCCTCATCAATTCTACGATTCACCTCATCTTTCATAGATCCATCTGCTGACACGTCCACTCCCAAATATCTGAATACATTCACCTCCTCCATACTCTCTCCCTCCAATCTGATATCCAATCTTTCATCACCTAATCTTTTTGTTATCCTCATAACCTTACTCTTTCCTGTATTCACTTTTAATTTTCTTCTTTTACATACCCTACCAAATTCATCCACCAACCTCTGCAACTTCTCTTCAGAATCTCCCAAGAGTACAGTGTCATCAGCAAAGAGAAACTGTGACAAATCCCACTTTGTGTGATTATCTTTTAACTCCACGCCTCTTGCCAAGACCCACGCATTTACTTCTCTTACAACCCCATCTATAAATACATTAAACAACCACGGTGACATCACACAGCCTTGTCTAAGGCCTTCTTTTACTGGGAAATAATCTCCCTCTTTCCTACATACTCTAACTTGAGCCTCACTATCCTCATAAAAACTCTTCACTGCTTTCAGTAACCTACCTCCTATACCATACACCTGCAACATCTGCCACATTGCTTCCATATCCACCCTGTCATACGCCTTTTCCAAATCCATAAATGCCACAAAAACCTCTTTAGCCTTGTCTAAATACTGTTCACTTGTATGTTTCACTGTAAACACCTGGTCCACACACCCCCTACCTTTCTTAAAGCCTTCTTGTTCATCTGCTATCCTATCCTCCGTCTTACTCTTAATTCTTTCAATAATAACTCTACCATACACTTTACCAGGTATACTCAACAGACTTATCCCCCTATAATTTTTGCACTCTCTTTTGTCCCCTTTGCCTTTATACAAAGGAATTATGCACGCTCTCTGCCAATCCCTAGGTACCTTACCCTCTTCCATACATTTATTAAATAATAGCACCAACCACTCCAAAACTATATCCCCACCTGCTTTTAACATTTCTACCTTTATCCCATCAATCCCGGCTGCTTTACCCCCTTTCATTTTACCTACTGCCTCACGAACTTCCCCCACACTTACAACTGGCTCTTCTTCATGTGCAGATATATTGTAGGGAAATAGAGTAATAGTGTTTACTTAGCCTGATAATACTGCTTCCTTAACTTATTGAACTGCAAACAATCATAAAACACATCAAAACATAACATAAAACACACGAAAATACATGAAATCTGGGCGGCTGGACATTCGCAAATGTTCGAAGCTCGTGAAAGTGGAACTCACGAATGTGGAGGGCCTCCTGTACATGTTAGATAGGAGTGAGTGGAGACAAATGGTTCTTAGGACTTGATGTGCTGTTGGAGTGTGAGCAAGGTAACATTTATGAAGGGATTCAGGGAAACTGGCAAGCTGGACTTGAGTCCTGGAGATGGGAAGTACAGTGTCTGCGCTCTGAAGGAGGGGTGTTAATGTTGTAGTTTTTTAACTGTAAGACAGTGATGGAGTGAATGATGATGAAAGTGTTTCTTATTTTTTGGGTCACCCTGCCTTGGTGGGAAACAAATGATGTATTAATAAAAAAAAATGCTTAATGAATAAGTAAATAAATAGCTACTGTCACTGAAAATGTTAATAAACAAGTAATTACACTAATACCAGTATTGAAAAGTCAATAAATGAATACAAGTTAGGGACTTGCTGCCTTTATGCTGGGTAATTTTCTTAAGTTTCATCTCCAAAGTAACTGTTGCCACACTATTGTAAAGTTGAGATATCCTAAGATGAACCATTGTAAAGTTGCAAAGCACATGTATATCCCACCACATGTATTATCCCACATGGTGTATACTGCATAAATATATACTGGAAGACCACAACATTGTGGGCAAATGTTTTTATTAGTGAGTGTGAGAAGGATACCACTTTCTATTATACTTAATGCACTTACTATATTCCAACTTTACAATGGTGTGGCAACAGTTACTTTGGAGATGAAACTTAAGAAAATTACCCAGCATGAAGGCAGCAAGTCCTTAACTTGTATTCATTTACTGACTTTTCAATACTGGTATTTAGTTAAAGTAATTATTTGTTTATTGACTTAGAGGCAATAGTTATTCATTTACCTATTTAGCATATTTTCATATCCGGCTTATAACATTTTCAAATTATGATGTGTTCATCGCAGCGTAACCCGTCTTAAGTCAAGGACCACATGTATATCATACATCATTCATGTGACATTGGTAACAGGTTTGATGATCATTCTATTATTCTGTCTGCATTGTTACTTGGTCTTCCTTTTAACATTGTGTGCCTTAATGAGCACCAATGTAAAATAAAAGGTGAATGAACAGGTACTTGAAGCATGGTTCATGGACATAGCAACTGTGCAACCACACAGCCATAGAACTTGCAGCACGGTGATTTTACAACTCTGGTTGAGTGGTAGCAACATTGCACCTGCTGTATGAGGAGTTAGACACTTGTGCAACATTTGTGAATCTTTACAACAAAGATTCCCAGATGTTGCACAATTGTCTCATTCTTCAACTTGTAGGTTTTGTAAATTATTTAAAGATGGTCCTCGACTTACAAAGGGGTTACATGAGAACATAGGAATGGAGGAACAATGCAAAAGGCCTACTGGCCCATACAAGGTAGGTCTTTATCAAAACCACCCCTACCCTGAACTACCCAAGAATTTACTCCCGTAATCCCGTAACTGTACAATACAAAAAACCACACCATGACACATATAACCTGCACATAAGAGAGAGGAGCTTATGATGGTGTTTTGGTCCAACATGGACCATTTACAAAGTCACATCATCATATTTGTGCATTGTTCCAGTCATGGTATTGTGCCTATTTGTTCTTCTTGATCGCACCATCGTAAAGTGGAAATATCATAAAGTCGAACCATGGTAAATTGAGGAGCACCTGTACTTGCAGTCTAAAATTAAATTTACAATTAATACTTGATTTTTTCTCTTGTTAGATTTGGCATGGGGATTAAGTTCCGTGAAAGCACACTTCTCATTGGCCCCAAGACTACAACCACTGCAAAGAAAGGACAAGTTTTTAATGTCAACCTGGGCTTCTCTGATATTACCAATGAATCCGCCAGTGATGCCGGCAGCAAGAAGTACGCTCTCTTTATTGGGGATACAGTGGTGGTCAACGAGGTGAGTTGAGCCTATAGAGAACTTTTCAAATTTGATTTTTCTTTTGTGATAATTGCATTGCTTTGTAATATAAGATAACGTGTGTCTTTCTTTGTATTTCATCTTATAGTCAGTACAGGAGGGCCCCATATATACAACAGGACCCCACATATACTGCAGGGCCCCACATATACTGCAGGGCCCCACATATACTGCAGGGCCCCACATATACAGCAGGGTTCCACATATACAGCAGGTCCCATGCATTTATGGCATGGCCCCTCATATACAGCAGGCCTCACACATACAGCATGGTCCCACTGAATATACAACACTTCTTTTTGTGGTCCACATTTTCATTGGCTCAGTTTGAACCCAACTAAAATGTGGAACACTGAAAAGAGGTGCTGTATATGCAGGCCCCTACTGTATCTGTGGGGCCCTGCTATATCTGTGGGGCCCTGCTGTATCTGTGAGGCCCTCCTGTATCTGCAGAGCTCTCCTGTATAAGATAAATTGTTTCTCATTGTATTTCATCTTGTAGTTGGTAATTTGCATTAGAGACCATTACCCTTGTAGGGAAATTTTGGTCAGTGTGTTAACCACTGGGCCACTTGGCTCTAATAAGATTCATGTAACTAGGTATATTTCTGTACACTACAGGGAGGTGATGGGTTCTTGATCCAAGGAACTAGAGTTGTCCTCCCCTTCCATGGATTGAACCAAATTACCTCCCATTCTCCAGGCACTATGAGCCATATGGGTTTAGTGCCTGACTTGAGTCCTGGAGGTGGGAAGTACAGTGAGTGTACTCTGAAGGACAGGTGGAGATATGTTGCAGTTTTTAAATTGTAGTATCAGCACACCTCTGGCAAGACAGTGATGGAGTGAGTGATGATGAAAGTGTTTCTTCTTTTTCGGATCACCCTGCCTTAGTGGGAAACAGCCAATGTGCTGACAAAAAACCTCGCTTCCAGAATTCCTGTATCATGAATGGTTTGGCTTAAGGTTTGTTATTTAGGTTACATCTGGTCCCAAATCTGCACACTGCCATAACAACATACTGGAGTGAGAAATATGGGAGGAAGTGCAAAATAAACTCAGTAAAGGAGCAGGGGTGCAGTGGGCACAATAAGGGAAAACTGTATCAACATTCATAGCCCCATACTGCTGTAACAAGTGTAGAAGTCTTCAAAACTGCATAAGTATCTTCAGGTGCCAGATCAACCAGGCTGTGATGGATGTGTGGGTCAATGGGCCTCCAGTAGCAACAGCCTTGTTGACCAGGCTAGCACCAGACCAACCTCAGCCATAGTCAGGCTTCAAGGATAGTAAAACTCTCGAAACTCATGAAAGGTATATCTTCTTCCTCTCTCTGTCTTGCCCATCCTTTTCTCCAATATATACTGGCTCCCTCACCTTCATGTGTCAATGTGACTTGTAAGTGGAAATGAAAGTATGACCCAACAGGCATTCTGTGGTGTTCCTCCTTTCTTATGTTTTTATGTTCTTAATTAAAAGTACAGCCTCTCCTCACTTAGTGACGTACTCGTTTACCAACGCCTTGGACTTACAACGGCTCTGTGACCAGTATGGATACCTAAATAATGTATATTAGAGCTGATTTCCTCTATTCTGTTTATTACAGTATACAGTACACTACAGTATAAACATTTAAAAATATACCAGAAATGTTATAAATAGTGTAAAGGTGACATTAAAACATTATCAGAGATAGTTGACACAACCCCACTACCATTATAGTATGCTCCTCATGTAGCCACGAATTCGTTTACCAATGTGGTGTCAGGAACGGAATTCCGTTGTTAAGTGAGGAGAGGCTGTATTGCATTTTGTAATGCTCCTTGAGTGAGTTATTGCAAAAAATTGTTGCAGGGTGATGTGTATGTTGTAACTGCATAATGTTCTTGCATGCGAGAAAATCAATAATGCTTTGATAAATGATATTGTAAAAATTATTCTTTTATTTCATTTTTTTCACAGGATCAGCCAGCCACAATATTAACAGCATCAAGCAAGAAGAAATTGAAGAATGTTGGTGTCTTCCTGAAGGTGAGTGTGAAGACTGTGATAGTTGTCTTCCTGAAGGTGAGTGTGAAGACTGTGATAGTTGTCTTCCTGAAGGTGAGTGTGAAGACTGTGATAGTTGTCTTCCTGAAGGTGAGTGTGAAGACTGTGATAGTTGTCTTCCTGAAGGTGAGTGTGAAGACTGTGATAGTTGTCTTCCTGAAGGTGAGTGTGAAGACTGTGATAGTTGTCTTCCTGAAGGTGAGTGTGAAGACTGTGATGTCTTCCTGAAGGTGAGTGTGAAGACTGTGATAGTTGTCTTCCTGAAGGTGAGTGTGAAGACTGTGATGTCTTCCTGAAGGTGAGTGTGAAGACTGTGATAGTTGTCTTCCTGAAGGTAGGAGTGAAGACTGTGGTAGTTGTATGATAGTCACAGGTAAACTTACACCACAAAGGACCCTAACACCAGATGAGGCCCTTAATTAACATCACAGGGGCCCCAAACACCACAGGGGAGCCTTGACACCACTGGGACCCTTAGCACCACAGGAGCCCCTTAACACAACAGGGGACCCTTAACACCACAGAGAGTAACTGCTTCTTTAACACAGTGAAGGTGCAAACAGATGTCTTCTTGGAGGGGCCAGGCCGAGGTTTGGCAGACGGTAATTCGACACTGCCACCAGCCTTGAAACGCTGTCTGGTGCCCAGGTTTGTGAAGCCCTATGATTTGAGCTATAGTTTCAGGTGTTAAAGACCTCCTTTTACCCATAATCAAACATGTATAGCCCAAAACCAAAGGGAACACTGGACAAAAGATGAGGCGGATGAGAGACAAAAGTGCAGCACTTCCTCTCACCATGGCAGCCATGTGAGCAATGAGAAGTCATTGTGAAGTGTGGTGGCAGGTTGTGACATCATGCTAATGGCTGCTACCCAGCAGAATGCACTGGCAAAAAAAGACCCCCCTGCATGGTAGGCCTTTGATTTTCATCACAGCACTGTGTCGGGGCGCTCACCTGGCATGATGCCGTGACAAGCACTGTATATTACTATTGCAATATACAGTGGTACCCCGAGTTTCGTACATAATTCATTCCAGACAGCTGTTCAAGTGACGTTACCGAATGAATTTCTTCCCATAAGGAATAATGTAAATTAGATTAGTCCGTTTCAGACCACCAAAAATACACTTAGCAAAAGCACTTACAAAAATACACTTGCATAATTGGTCGAGTTGGGAGCTGTATGAATGGGTACCACTGTATCTTACTATTGTAATGTATCTTACTATTGTAATGTATCTTACTATTGTAATACATCTTACTATCATAATATATCTTACTATCATACCATATATTTTATTATTGTACTATATATTACAATCATAATATATTATACTCTTGTACTATATTATAAGGATCATATATCTTACTATTGTAATATATCTTACAATCATAATATATTATACTCTTGTACTATAGTATAAGGATCAATTATTTAATTCCTTTATATTAAATAACCTTTCAGGATCGAGAGGCCCTTTCCTAGACTTGTTCTCAGGGTCAAAAATTGTTCGAAAAAAAAATGAAAATTATTTTTTCTCATGAAATGATAGAAAATCTTTCCCCGATCATAATGACACCAAAAGTATGAAATTTGATGGGAAACTTACGGAATTATGTTCTCGCGAAGTTAGCGGTCTCAACGATGTTTGTGCATCGGCGATTTCGCCCACTTTGAGCTTTATTTTCGGCCAATTCCAATGTATCAGTCGACAAAAATCATAACTATTTTTCTAGACCTTCGTTTTTTCTATTAAATGAGTACAAGAAACTACCCATTTACCAATTTTAATTATCCAGTAAAGTGGTCAGTAATTGGCAGTTTTGCCAATTTCACACAAAATTCAAAAGATGCCAATTTCCAAATAGGGTCCAGAATAAACAAGACAGACATTCCTGGCACTAAAATAACATTTTCTCTGTTCATTAGTCATGTTCCCAGGCCTCTCTTACATTTCTTTTGCTTTCCACTTTGAATTTTTATTCTCACAAAAAATAGAGGATTTACTGTTATGCAGACTACTGCATTAGCATAGAAATGGTGTAGAAATGGTATAAATAATATCAACACACGTGAAATAATATTAGACTCTCCAGTTCATGTGTATTAGACGTGTGGCATGATTCCTTTACTTTTGAACTTTGGCAAAAATCGAACATTTCTGCTACTTTGAGCTCAATTTCAAGGTACTTTTCATTGTGAAACCAATCAAAATCATCTCAATTTCTGTAATATATCTTCATTCTATAAATTGAGACCAGGAAAACTAGAATACAACTATAAATATCTTACGAAAATACACTGCAAAGTCACCGTTTTAAACCAAAAAGCACGGTCAGTTTTTTTTTTCTCATTACTCACTGTGTGCTGCAGGATTTTTTTTGTACTGTGCACACTGACCACATAGACCCATTCTTTCATATGTAGGCCTACCAGCTTTCTCTCGCTAGATTTGAAGGCGCTAGAATTTATGCGTAGTAGCACGTCAATAACCCTGGTGCTTAAGCCATACTAGTACGTCGGAAACCCTGAAAGGATTAATAACAAATAATAATAATAATAATAATAATGTGAGAATATCATGTGGAAATATCATGTGGCTTAAACCAATGACCCACCTAGTCAGGTCAGTTCACGTCCACTTAAGGAAGGAGCTCAGCATCAGACCTATTAGCACAAGTTTGTTAGGTCCAACTCTCACCCACCCACACCCATCCTTCCTGAATCTGAATTTTTCCAACTTAAAACCATTGCTTCGAGTACTGTCTAGGCTAGATATTTTTAGCACGCTATTTACATCCCCTTTATTTATTCTTGTTTTCCATTTATATATCTCAATCATATCCCCCCTAATTCTACGCCTTTCTAGGGCGTGCAGATTCAGGACCTCAGTCTATCCTCATAGGGAAGATTTCTGATACATGGGATCAACTTTGTCATCCTCCTCTGTACATTTTCCAGAGCATTTATATCCATTCTGTAATACGGTGACCAGAACTGAGCAGCATAATCTAATATAACCAAGGATATATAGAGTTGAACAACTCTATACATCTTGATATGAAGCCAAGGATTCTGTTCACTTTATAGCAAACAGAATTCTTGATGAACAGAACACTTATACACTGTTGTCTTGGTTTTAGATTACTGCTAACCAGAACTCTGAAATCCGACATCAATATTCACATTCAGCTTGTGATATCTTCGACTTAACGATGGGTTTGTTGGAACACGGCTGCAGTCTGTCAAGGAGCACCTGTATTTGTGTTAGAGGTAGGTCAGATGTTATTTTGTTTTGTTACTAAATTGAAGTAATGGTTGTTCTCCATCTGTCACACATCAGTACATCTTATACCTTTGATGAGTTTTGAGAGTTTCACTATTCTCGGAGCTCGGCCATGGGCCAGGCACATATAATATTGTTCCTTAACCCTTTCACTGTCCAAACCCCTGAGCTGAAAATTGCTTTCAATGTCCAAGAATTAAAAAAGAAATTTTTTCTTATAGAATGATTTTTTCTGAAAGGAATGAAACAAAAAAAAAAAATGTTCCCATCAGTACTTTTCGAGATACAGAGACGTGAAGTTGACACTGAGTGAATGGCTGACAGCAACATCGGTAACTGCCTTGCACTCCACATTATTTTCTTTAATTTTTTGGTACATTTTTCTTTACTAATACAGTGGTATCCTGACTTGTGAGTTTAATTCGTTCTGTGACCAAACTCGTAACTCATTTTGCTCATACTATATCAAATCAGTTTTCCTCATTGAAATTAATTGAAATGCCATTAATCCATTCCAGCCCCCCAAAAACCACCCCAGTTTTTTTTTACGAGATTTTAAATAAGAAACGTGTATTTATAAATATTGTATACTCCACCCACCACCTTCACTACTCCACCCACCACCTTCACTACTCCACCCACCATCTCTACTCTACCCACCACCTTCACTACTCTGCCCACCACCATCTCTACTCTACCCACCACCATCTCTGCTCCACCCACTATCTTCACTACTCCACCCACCACCCTCACTACTCCACCCACCATTATCACTACTCCATCCACTCCTCACCCTCCACTCACTACTCCACCCACTACCATATCTACTCCACCCACCACCATCACTACTCCACCCACCACCATCACTACTCCATTCACCACTATACTCCACCCACCACCATCACTACTCCACCCACCACCATCACTACTCTACCCACCACTATACTCCACCCACCACCATCACTACTCTACCCACCACCACCACTACTCCAACCACCACCATCACTACTACACTCACCACCATCACTACTCCAACCACCACCATCACTACTCCAACTACCACCATCACTACTCCAACCACCACCATCACTACTCCACCACCACCATCACTACTCCAACCACCACCATCACTACTCCACCCACCATCACTACTCCAACCACCACCATCACTACTCCAACCACCACCATCACTACTACACTCACCACCATCACTACTCCAACCACCACCATCACTACTCCAACTACCACCATCACTACTCCAACCACCACCATCACTACTCCACCCACCATCACTACTCCAACCACCACCATCACTACTCCACCCACCATCACTACTCCAACCACCACCATCACTACTCCAACCACCACCATCACTACTCCATCCACTTTAATGTTTCTGGAAAAACTCTCGACTGTTGAAATGTAGGTTACCTCTTCCCCGGATTTATACGAGAACCAAAACAAGGGACGAGGTGCCTCGCTACAATCTGGGATTAGGGGTACAGATTTGGATTTGACTTCAGATACGCTGCCAATTAGTGGTGTATCTGAAGCTCGCTTGTAACTCGGATTTTGGCTTGCAACTCAAAGCAAAAAATTCAACCAAGCGACAGCTCGTGTCTTGGAAAACTTGTAAGTTAAGGTACCTCTGTACTTTATCTACGGTAACTTGTATGGCCTGTGAGACCAGTATAATGCATGTTGTTTATAAATCCACCGTATTCAACACAACCACACTAATAGTGCGGTTAAAATGTTGCGTATTACTAATCTTTCAATAAACTGACCACATCCCACTGAGGCAGGGTGGCCCAAAAAGAAAATGCATAAGCTTCTCTTTTTAACTTTAGTAATGTATACAGGAGAAGGGGTTACTAGTCCCTTGCTCCCAGCATTTTAGTAGAGACTTATGACATGCATGGCTTACGGAGGAAGAATTCTGTTCCACTTTCCCATGGAGATAAGAGGAAATAAGAACAAGAACTAGTAAGAAAATAGAAGAAAACCCAGAGGGGTGTATATATATATTCTAGTACATGCATGTGTAGTATGACCTAAGTGTAAGTAGAACTAACAAGACGTACGTACCTGAAATCTTGCATGTTTATGAGACAGAAAAAAAGACACCAGCAATCCTATCATCATGTAAAGCAGTTACAGGCTTTCGTTTTACATTTGCTTGGCAGGACGGTAGTACCTCCCTGGGCGGTTGCTGTCTACCAACCTCCTACTCTCTCTCTCTCTCACTGTCTCTCTCTGTCTCTCTGTCTCTGTCTGTTTTTTTTTTTTTTTTACACAGGGTTTGACAAGGTTAAGGATCCCTAGCTTTATTGACAAGCTATTTACAGGTTAAGGATTCCTAACTTTATTGGCAAGCTAAGAGCTGTTACCTACATCAGCTCATTTGAAAGCATTTTTATTGTTATGAGACATACAAGTAGGGAACAGGATGAAGTTGGAGCCATCTGTGGGCCAGCATTTTCATTTGATCAACTGACTTTATCTCGTTGACATCATTATGCTGTACGAATGTGTTCCATACTCGAGTCATCCTGGGTATGTATGATCTCAGATGGAGTGATGTTCTGGAGAAGGGTACAGCCAGAGTGAAGTTGCTGCTTTCTGCCCGTCTTGTGGCATAAAAGCTTGTTTCACGCTGTCCTCGAAGTGGATCCAAGTGTGGTTTTTGACAATATTGGCCTTGTACATAACAGTAAGGCCACCCACATCCCTCCTATGTTGAAGGCTCTGCTGAAATGACAGATCTATCCAGGATGGGTCCAGGCGAGAGATGAGACGTCTTGCTCTGTTCTCTACTCTGTCAACAGTCGCAGATGAGGGGGGGGCAGGCAAACCAAGAAAGTGGAGCATAACCAAGGTGTGAGCGTACTTGTGCCTCGTACAGGATCTTGCAACCCCTACTGTCAAGCAGATGGGAGATACGGCAAGTGCTTGCTTCCTGCTGCCTGTTTGCAGTTCCTTTCTTCTGGTTCTTGCTCAAATTCCCCCGATATCAACTTCTCTCCAGTGTCCAACATCTCCATCATCCTACTACTGCACCAGCCTTACATCATTGCCTAGAGACATCACATTTGCGTTTCTCATGCAAATTTACTCTGCCATCTATTTCCCAGCGAAAGTCTCAGCTGTGATTGAGTAGCTAAGCAGCTGGCATTCTTCTCTGGATAGTGATGTCATTACAGTCGTCGCATATGCATTGATTCTGGATGAATAAGAAGGTGTTGAAGTAGACATTCCATAACAATGGACCCAGCACGCTTCCTTTGGAACACTTGCCCCAATAGGATGTCTTGCTGATTCCGTTCCATTGAAACTACACTTAGAGATCTACCATGAAGGTAGTCACTGAGGAGACATAGCGTTAGAGCCTGCAATTCCCAGTGCTTGAAGTTTTGCTAAGAAGGGCGCCTGGGCCACACCCGGTCGAAAGCGCCAGCAATGTCCAGTGCTACCACACAGCTGACTTTGGATTCAATCCAGTGACTGGTGCCACTTAGTGGAGAAGTTTAACAACAGATCAGCAGCAGTAGTAAACCTTTCCTGAAGCCATATTGACGATCACAAAGTAGTGAGTGGTAGTCAAAAAACTCTGTCATTTGTCTTGAGATTATTATCTCAAGGATCTTACCAGTGATTGACAGGAGTGACACTGGTCTGTAGTTGCTGATTTCTGCTCTGCCTCTTCTTTTTGTGAACAGGGACTACATTCGCCTCTTTCCATAGAGAGGGCCATTTACACTGTACTAGGCAGTGCTGAAAGATGCAAGTTAGAGGTGCTGCTAGCTGATCTGCACATCTTCTCAACAATCTTGAGCTCAACTTGTCTGGGCCCACAGCCTTTTCTTGGTCAAGCGATTTAAGTAGGAAATGCACCTCCTCCTGCCTATTGTCACCATTGACAGTTTTGACACCGTCTGCAGCTAGCCAAGGAGGGTCCCTTGCTGGATCAGGAACTTGCATTTTGGTAGCAAAGTGTTCAGCAAAGAGGTCCGCCTTCTCTTGACTACTTGTAGAGGTGGTCCCATCTCTCTCTCCTCTCTCTCTCTCTCTCGTCTCTCTCTCGAATCTCGTCGGTCTCGCATCTCTCTCTCGCTTCTCTCTCTCTCTTCTCTCTCTCTCTCTCTCTCTCTCTCTCTCTTCTCTCGTTTTCCTCTCTCTCTCTTCCTCTCTCTCTCCTCTCTCTCCTCTCCGTCATCTCTCTCTCTCTCTCTCTCCTCCTCTCTCTCTCTCTCTCTCTTCCTCCTCTCTCCCTCTCTCTCCTCTCTCTCCTCTCCCTCTCTCCTCTCCTCTCTCTTCTCTCTCTCTCTCGTCTCCTCTCCTCTCTCTCCTCTCTCCTCTCTCCTCTCTCCTCTCCTCTCTCTCTCTCCTCTCTCTCTTTCCTTTCCTCCCCTTCTCCCTCTCTCCTCTTCCTCTCCCTCCTCTCTCTCTCCTCCCCTCTCTCTCTCTCCCCCTCTCTTCCTCTCTCTCTCTTCTTTTCTCCTCTCCCTCTTTTTCCTCTTTCTCTTCTTTTTTCCCCTTTTTTCCCTCCCTCTTTTCTTCTCTCTCTTCCCCTCTCTTTCCTCTTCTCTCTCTCTCTTTTTCCCTCTTTCTCTCTCTTCTTCCCACTCTTTCTCTCCCTCTTTTTCCCCTTCTCTTCCCTCTTTTCCCCTCTCTCTCCTCTCTCTTTCTTTTTTCTTTTTCTCTCTTCTTCCTCTCCCCTCTTCTCTCTCCCTTCTCTCTCTCTCTTTTTTTTTTTTTTTTTTTTTTTTTTTTTTTTTTTTTTTTTTTTTTTTTTTTTTTTATGGTTTAAAGTTCCTACTTTTTGCCAAAGGCTGAAATTTGAAAATTGTTGAAAAAAATATTTAATTTAATTTTTTAAATTTTCCTCCCCTCTTTCTTTCTCTTTCTCTCTCCCCCCTTCCCCCCACCCCCCCTTTTCCCTCCCCCTCTCCCCCTCCTCTCCCTCTCCCTTTTCTTTTTCCTCTTTCTTTCCCTTTCCTCCTGGGGGTGGAAGCCAGAACGGCACGGGGAACCGGAAAAGGGGCCGCACAAAGAATCCTCCTTCCTCTCTCTCTTCTCTCTCTCTCCCCCCCTTCTCTCTCTCCCCCTCTCTTCTTCCCCCTCTTTTCCCCTTTCCCTCTCTCTCCTTC